GGGGGGGGGGGGGGGGGGGGGGGGGAGGAAGAGGCGGAAAAATCCCTTTTTTTCCGTCCGCCGTGCCCTCCACCACCCCTACCCACCGGCATTTTGTACTCTCCCCAGTTTCGCTCGCAGTCTATGACACAACCGTCTATCGACAAATAAGAAAGCAAATTATAAAGGCCAGTTGTAACGATGTGTGACTAGTTTGCAGTAATTATCAATTTCATTAAAGGAACTTCAAGGCATTAATGTGTTCAAAAAAGTTAAAGGACTTGCCGAGAAGTTTACTTCTTCGGCGCCATAAATTGTTCAGATTTACTATTGATCTACTAGCGTTCTATAACGAAAGCTGTTAGCTGCTGTTCTCTGATTGGCTACGCTACTCACCATCTATTCTGTTGTGGATTGTGCCGTAAATAGTCTAAAAGCGTGCGACTGTTAACGAAATGAAGGCCGTTTCTTTGCGAAGTGTCTGGATTTGAATATAATTTTCAACGACTAACAGCGAGAAAGGAGAGGGGGCTTAGTGCGTGGAGCGAACGCACTCCAGCACCGTCCTTCTCGCCTATATATTTTTTGTTCGCCAATTTCCGCGCTGCGTCCCAACAAACTAAACGCCAAGAAGAGGCTAACCAGATAGTGAATAGCCTAGCAGTGTGCGGTTGTTAACAACATGACGGCCGTTTTCTTTGCGTTTTCGAAGTGTCTGTGAAGAGGACTTAGATAAAGTTTGAACGACTTTTAGATTTATTTTAAAACAATAAGATTATCCGCTAGCGCTCTCGATTTCTATGCGCGATAGTTGACGACGACCGCGTCAACTAACACATGATAGAAATCTCCCACTCAATAAGCATGAGAGTCAGTTTACGATTTTAGTAGGGATTTTTAAAGTGAACTGTATTTCTTTAAATTGCTTGCGAAACATCGTCTGGTTGATTTTGTGATTATATCTTGATTTCAGGAGATAATTTTCATCCCCTCCGTAAGACAAAAAAGAAAGAAAAAGCACTTAAAATGCCGAGTCACGATTGTCTCTAAGTAACAATGGCTTAGAAACCGCATTTTGAAAACTTTTGACATGGTCTATTGCCTTAATGATCCACGTCCCGTTTCTCTTTACCGAATCAATATATGAGCAAATAAAGGGTTATGAGAATTAGAAAATAATGAAATATGAGATATTGCCTAGGTGTATTACTATATCCTCAAAACTCTTGACAATTGAAAGGAAATGCATGGCAATCTAGGGGAATATAAATCACTTCTGGCTTTGATTCCTTGGCAGCTAGGAGCCCATAGCTAGCGGCTACGTTTTTATAGCTTCGTTCAGGCGGTTTAGTCTTAAGGTAAAACAGGTACAAACTAGACTAAACAAACACAGTTGATTACAAATGTTTGACCTCTGTGAGCAAATGGAACTCGTATCATACATGTTACCTTGATTCTGTGTTACAGAAACTCTATGAGTTAAGTCGCTGCGACACAAACAGTTAAGTGGCTAATTATAACTGAATGCCTGACATGTTAATGAAAATTTCCATACGGGTTATGAAAACAAGATTTTTTTTCTAAGAAGACGACCACAGACCTTACATAATCCGCTGGCATCTCAATCTTAAGCTTGCTTGCACTCGAGTTGTGTTTTGCTGAGCCGAAGAACTTGGCAACAGAAAGAGAAAGTTCGCTTTCCGTTTTAAGAATGTTATGCTTTCGACATGCTTCGATAATTCAATTCTTAGGAAGACGAAGCTTTTAATTTAGCCAGGTTTAATTAATCATTGACGCAGTAGTGGAAGTTTCACAGTCTTGGACGAAACTAGAGAGTCTTCCTTCCAGGTTTGTTTTCCTTGCCTTCAGAAAATGATGTTTACAAGTGCTCCAACAAGAAAACTGTTAGTTACTTTGTCAAGTGGTGTCAAAATCTAATCCCATTTTTGCATACTTACCTACTTGTAGCAACAGACTCAAACAGGACACAGGAGGTACCAACAGCCGACTGAAACACTCCTTGCAGGCTCTGTAGCTCCACTGCGCTTAAAAAGTCGAAAATGTACTCCAGAAAAATCCTACAAACGTAAACTTGAGCCTACATTTGGCGTGCAAACTTCGCGTCTTTGGACCCAGCAAGATTTATTATTGTTATGCGATAATTTACTGACGTAAAAAAGCTTGACAGTGATTGGTTACTCGCTTAACTATAAATTCGTTTTCTTTGTCATTCATTTCTCATGGACGAGCGCGCTCGTACAATTGAGCCAGCTTTTTCTTCGTATTAAACTAGCAGTGAATGCTATTCGGCTGGACAGATTCATAGGGAAAGAAGGAAGTTTGAAATGTAATTGTAGTTTTCTTTTAATCTTTTCTTTTATGTACGAATCACTGAAATAAAAGTCGGTAACTAGTACTACAGTTTGCGAGAGTAAACAACCTCTTGGCAAGTCAAAACAAACGATCGAGTTGAAGACGTTATTAACCAGCATAGACCACATTAAAGGTTGTTTACCTTATCTCAGCGTGCAATACGCAACTTCCAAACTAGAGTCTGGTGTGAGTGAAAATGCTCTACGCTATATGTTTATCGAAGGAAAAGAAGAGACTACTGTTTGAAGTCTGTTTGCAGCAAGTAAAAAGGCTTTGTTATATTTCTCAGTAACTACGCGCGCTGTGATTAGTCAATTTCGGGCTGGTATATATTCTTTTGTACGGCCCCTTAAAGTTTAAAGTTGTTTTTGTCGCCAAAATGTCTCGTAATTTATCGCCAATTGTTCTTAGCTTTTATAAAAAATAAAGTTTCAAACTTTCGTTTTCTATCAGTTGTACATTAAACGCGCTTAAGATCACACTTCGAAATCGCAACGATTTCGAATTGACTAGTTTTGCTTTCGACATGCGTCAGTCATTTGAAGCCGTTCTGCCTCACTCAGTAGAAATTATTGTTTCCCAAAGTTAACCCATCAGACACACAGTAGAGATATAGTAGGTGCCTTACTCACCTCGTCCTCTCGGCCCGTACCGTAAGTTAAGGATCCCAAAGCGCGAATTGCGCGGGCTAAAAATGGAAGAAAAAAAAAAAAACTCGTTCTATAATTTACCGCACGGACCTCGAATTCGGTTAGTAAGAGGTATATGTTACGCGACTAAAGGCCATATAAGTTTTAAATATCCCTTATTTGGTACCACATAGGAGGAATGTCGACCTTAGGTCTTTTCTGTATATACAGACCGCAGTATTGACCTCCGGGCTGGGCTCGGTCCGCACAGTCAAGACGTATAAGGCCGATATTCTCCCAAAACAGCTCTCTCAGTTGTTTCATAAAGTATATTTGTTCCCCGACAGTTAAGATCGTTTTCCTTATCTTGCCAATGAGAAATGAAAGAATTGAACAGGATAGAAAGAACCTTGGTGTAAGAGAGACTGGGTACGTCATTTAAGCCGCTATCTCTAATGAGAATCGACGAAGGTTAAGGGACCAAGGGGGCTACCCAGCAAAGTAAAACTAGTAGTAGCTACCAGAACCAGTATTACTTTTGTTTTATTACTTGGTGCATGTGGGCTCCGACACATTGCGTACACAGTATAAAGGAAGCGAACAAACAATTAGCCCCAAGCACGAACGAGCTTAAAACAAAATAAATTTCTGTTGTAGGCATTCTTTTATTGTGTCTTCTCAAAATGTACTATATATATATACAATAAAGTTACTGTAGCTTTTTACTTTCTGGAGAAATGATTTTGAAAACTAAAAAATTCATCATTAAAAGATGTACAATTACTCTTTAAAGGTAATGTACGCGAGCGATTTTTAATGTAAACGGCGATTTTTAACGCAACCCGTTGACAATCGATGCCGTGTAACATGACGCACAGGGCGACTATTAGTTATTGGTATTTTATCTTTATTTACACCAAATTAATAAAGAAGGCTATTTTCGTGTCAAAATGCTACGCACTGCGTTACAGTAAAATTTACAATATGACTCGGTCACAATTATCTTTATAATTTCACTTTATGGTTTTTTAAAGCTGAGATTAATTATATCATACACTTAAAATGCATACTTATGGCATGCATGCTCGTAGCTTTTGCATAGGTTTTCTTTTCTATGATCTTAAAAGAGGCTAAGGTACAATTTTAGTTTTACTTAAATATCCAGATTTCTTCTTAAGTTGACCTCAAGTTGTATTCAGATTCACGCAGCTTTTTGAGTAGACCTTGTAAAGTGGCTAGCAAGTTTTTTTTTTTTTTTTTGAGCTAACAGCTAGAGAGTGCTTTCACACTAGCAAGAAAACACAAACGAGTGCTCAGACAATTCTCAAAGGAGCAAAATACAGTACTTTTTTCACCGCGACCTACCTAGTCTTATATACAGTCGGCATTAGCACTGCATTTCTCCGCGAATATAGACAGTATTTCTGAGTTAACAGAAAACCCCAATAAGTCAACAAAGATTTCTGATACCTTTTTTCAAAAAGCCGTTGTCAAAATAGGCAACTTTTTCTAACAACTTGCCTCACATTTTTTTCATAACTTTTGCACTTCCCCTAAAGTTGCCAAGAATAACCAGTCTTGCTTAAAATTAGCATGTCGCACAACATTTTCGTTGCAATAAGCTTTGCCGAAAGTATAACTTGGTCCTACTCCGCTTAACGCTCACTGCGAAATTAACGTTGCGATATATATTGATTTTAGAAGGGGTTTTGAACAGGGCAGTTTTCCCTAAAACTTCAATTGCAACAAAAACTGCCGGACAAGTTGTGCAAAAATGCTTCGTGTATCAGCGTCTTAGCTGTACATTAAAGTATGACTGCGCTTGTTACTTAGAGCCCGCTGTTACAAAATTAGCGGGTTCAGTTAGTCGAAGAGAGAATTCTGACAAAGATCGGTTAATGTTACGTTTATAACAGGGAACATTTTTATTTTAAAGAGAAAAACGTGATGGGCGTTGAGAAAAGCTAGCCGAGCTCTTGTTTCTTGTTATCAGCTATCTATAGATCTGTTATGAAGCTTATGCCGATAATAATGATGCGTTAAGCCTTAAAATATTAAGACCTAAAAGTGGATTCTCCATAACTTTTGCCATAAATTCCTTGAAATGCTTGCTGTGAGAATTAGTGTTACATCCAGGCAATTTCCTTAGTTGATGACTTTCTTTATTCTTATTACCTTTCTGCTTGATAATGTATGGAAATTGTAAGGAGAAATATGATGTTGATAACTCTTGGGAAGTATACTGGCGATCGGCTGCTGGAAAGGTTTTTATGAGAGTATTTCTTGGCATCCCAGTCCTGAAGAATCTTTCTTACATTTTATGAACCTTGAGATGTGTTCTTCCATGTACTTCAGAGGAAGTTCCCCTTGGCGCAAGATTTGATAATGAAACTCTTTCATGGAAAACTTTGGTCCCAGTTCTTTTTCGGCCAGTTGCCTCAATTTGATGAAAGTCTCTTGGCCAATCATATAGCTTGTAACAGTGGCTGGTGAGCTTTGGTACCGCGTGATGTCCTTGGTGGCCAGGTCACTTTTGTCCCATGCGTACTGCTCATAAAGGTTTTCAGCTTGTTTACGTGTCATCGCGAAATAATTTACACCAGTGTCGAGAACAGACCGTAAGGCAGCGAGAATCTGGATAAAAATTGACAGACATTTAAACTTCTCATCCTTGTCTCTAAGCGCGTTTTCTTATTTTAATGACCGCGCAAAGCCTGGGACAGGAGGGAGAGAGATTGATGCCATTACTCACGATGGAGTCCAGACTCCCAAGAACGCGTAGCGACTGGGCTGTAAACTATTGTAAGCCTTACCGGAAAAAGGTCTATTGACCAAATATCGACCATTTCAAGCAAACAAAATTTATTTTGAAACAGTGACGACTATGAGCAAAGAAACTAAAATCTTCCACATACAACATGAAGAGCATTTCACCGTGTTGAGGTCCAAAATGTATTGGGTGGTTGATCATTTACAGTCTTAAGTCTTACTTTTGCTTCTTTACTTTCTAGTAGGATTTGTCTTGACTGAGGTCCCGTTTACACGGACGCGGTTTCATTTGTAACCGCATCTTTTTCGATGCGGTTACGCCTTCCATTTACACTGCGCAGATGACCTGCACCTCTTTAAAACTTCTATTTTGATTCGTTCTTGTTAAGATATTATTAGATAAGTAATCGTAATTAGGTGTCCATCATTATTATACATTGTATGCTAGCGACTTGGACACGTTAAGAAAGCTCTTATCTGCACCTCTTTTGTTTTTAGGGNACATGATAGAAATCTCCCACTCAATAAGCATGAGAGTCAGTTTACGATTTTAGTAGGGATTTTTAAAGTGAACTGTATTTCTTTAAATTGCTTGCGAAACATCGTCTGGTTGATTTTGTGATTATATCTTGATTTCAGGAGATAATTTTCATCCCCTCCGTAAGACAAAAAAGAAAGAAAAAGCACTTAAAATGCCGAGTCACGATTGTCTCTAAGTAACAATGGCTTAGAAACCGCATTTTGAAAACTTTTGACATGGTCTATTGCCTTAATGATCCACGTCCCGTTTCTCTTTACCGAATCAATATATGAGCAAATAAAGGGGTATGAGAATTAGAAAATAATGAAATATGAGATATTGCCTAGGTGTATTACTAGATCCTCAAAACTCTTGACAATTGAAAGGAAATGCATGGCAATCTAGGGGAATATAAATCACTTCTGGCTTGGATTCCTTGGCAGCTAGGAGCCCATAGCTAGCGGCTACGTTTTTATAGCTTCGTTCAGGCGGTTTAGTCTTAAGGTAAAACAGGTACAAACTAGACTAAACAAACACAGTTGATTACAAATGTTTGACCTCTGTGAGCAAATGGAACTCGTATCATACATGTTACCTTGATTCTGTGTTACAGAAACTCTATGAGTTAAGTCGCTGCGACACAAACAGTTAAGTGGCTAATTATAACTGAATGCCTGACATGTTAATGAAAATTTCCATACGGGTTATGAAAACAAGATTTTTTTTCTAAGAAGACGACCACAGACCTTACATAATCCGCTGGCATCTCAATCTTAAGCTTGCTTGCACTCGAGTTGTGTTTTGCTGAGCCGAAGAACTTGGCAACAGAAAGAGAAAGTTCGCTTTCCGTTTTAAGAATGTTATGCTTTCGACATGCTTCGATAATTCAATTCTTAGGAAGACGAAGCTTTTAATTTAGCCAGGTTTAATTAATCATTGACGCAGTAGTGGAAGTTTCACAGTCTTGGACGAAACTAGAGAGTCTTCCTTCCAGGTTTGTTTTCCTTGCCTTCAGAAAATGATGTTTACAAGTGCTCCAACAAGAAAACTGTTAGTTACTTTGTCAAGTGGTGTCAAAATCTAATCCCATTTTTGCATACTTACCTACTTGTAGCAACAGACTCAAACAGGACACAGGAGGTACCAACAGCCGACTGAAACACTCCTTGCAGGCTCTGTAGCTCCACTGCGCTTAAAAAGTCGAAAATGTACTCCAGAAAAATCCTACAAACGTAAACTTGAGCCTACATTTGGCGTGCAAACTTCGCGTCTTTGGACCCAGCAAGATTTATTATTGTTATGCGATAATTTACTGACGTAAAAAAGCTTGACAGTGATTGGTTACTCGCTTAACTATAAATTCGTTTTCTTTGTCATTCATTTCTCATGGACGAGCGCGCTCGTACAATTGAGCCAGCTTTTTCTTCGTATTAAACTAGCAGTGAATGCTATTCGGCTGGACAGATTCATAGGGAAAGAAGGAAGTTTGAAATGTAATTGTAGTTTTCTTTTAATCTTTTCTTTTATGTACGAATCACTGAAATAAAAGTCGGTAACTAGTACTACAGTTTGCGAGAGTAAACAACCTCTTGGCAAGTCAAAACAAACGATCGAGTTGAAGACGTTATTAACCAGCATAGACCACATTAAAGGTTGTTTACCTTATCTCAGCGTGCAATACGCAACTTCCAAACTAGAGTCTGGTGTGAGTGAAAATGCTCTACGCTATATGTTTATCGAAGGAAAAGAAGAGACTACTGTTTGAAGTCTGTTTGCAGCAAGTAAAAAGGCTTTGTTATATTTCTCAGTAACTACGCGCGCTGTGATTAGTCAATTTCGGGCTGGTATATATTCTTTTGTACGGCCCCTTAAAGTTTAAAGTTGTTTTTGTCGCCAAAATGTCTCGTAATTTATCGCCAATTGTTCTTAGCTTTTATAAAAAATAAAGTTTCAAACTTTCGTTTTCTATCAGTTGTACATTAAACGCGCTTAAGATCACACTTCGAAATCGCAACGATTTCGAATTGACTAGTTTTGCTTTCGACATGCGTCAGTCATTTGAAGCCGTTCTGCCTCACTCAGTAGAAATTATTGTTTCCCAAAGTTAACCCATCAGACACACAGTAGAGATATAGTAGGTGCCTTACTCACCTCGTCCTCTCGGCCCGTACCGTAAGTTAAGGATCCCAAAGCGCGAATTGCGCGGGCTAAAAATGGAAGAAAAAAAAAAAAACTCGTTCTATAATTTACCGCACGGACCTCGAATTCGGTTAGTAAGAGGTATATGTTACGCGACTAAAGGCCATATAAGTTTTAAATATCCCTTATTTGGTACCACATAGGAGGAATGTCGACCTTAGGTCTTTTCTGTATATACAGACCGCAGTATTGACCTCCGGGCTGGGCTCGGTCCGCACAGTCAAGACGTATAAGGCCGATATTCTCCCAAAACAGCTCTCTCAGTTGTTTCATAAAGTATATTTGTTCCCCGACAGTTAAGATCGTTTTCCTTATCTTGCCAATGAGAAATGAAAGAATTGAACAGGATAGAAAGAACCTTGGTGTAAGAGAGACTGGGTACGTCATTTAAGCCGCTATCTCTAATGAGAATCGACGAAGGTTAAGGGACCAAGGGGGCTACCCAGCAAAGTAAAACTAGTAGTAGCTACCAGAACCAGTATTACTTTTTGTTTTATTACTTGGTGCATGCGGGCTCCGACAAATTGCGTGCAGAGTATAAAGGAAGCGAACAAACAATTAGCCCCAAGCACGAACGAGCTTAAAACAAAATAAATTTCTGTTGCAGGCATTCTTTTATTGTGTCTTCTCAAAATGTACTAGATATATACAATAAAGTTACTGTAGCTTTTTACTTTCTGGAGAAATGATTTTGAAAACTCAAAAATTCATCATTAAAAGATGTACAATTACTCTTTAAAGGTAATGTACGCGAGCGATCTTTAATGTAAACGCCGACTTTTTTAACGCAACCCGTTGACAATCGATGCCGTGTAACATGGCGCACAGGGCGACTATTAGTTATTAGTATTTTATCTTTATTTACACCAAATTAATAAAGAAGGCTATTTTCGTGTCAAAATGCTACGCACTGCGTTACAGTAAAATTTACAATATGACTCGGTCACAATTATCTTTATAATTTCACTTTATGGTTTTTTAAAGCTGAGATTAATTATATCATACACTTAAAATGCATACTTATGGCATGCATGCTCGTAGCTTTTGCATAGGTTTTCTTTTCTATGATCTTAAAAGAGGCTAAGGTACAATTTTAGTTTTACTTAAATATCCAGATTTCTTCTTAAGTTGACCTCAAGTTGTATTCAGATTCACGCAGCTTTTTGAGTAGACCTTGTAAAGTGGCTAGCAAGTTTTTTTTTTTTTTTTTGAGCTAACAGCTAGAGAGTGCTTTCACACTAGCAAGAAAACACAAACGAGTGCTCAGACAATTCTCAAAGGAGCAAAATACAGTACTTTTTTCACCGCGACCTACCTAGTCTTATATACAGTCGGCATTAGCACTGCATTTCTCCGCGAATATAGACAGTATTTCTGAGTTAACAGAAAACCCCAATAAGTCAACAAAGATTTCTGATACCTTTTTTCAAAAAGCCGTTGTCAAAATAGGCAACTTTTTCTAACAACTTGCCTCACATTTTTTTCATAACTTTTGCACTTCCCCTAAAGTTGCCAAGAATAACCAGTCTTGCTTAAAATTAGCATGTCGCACAACATTTTCGTTGCAATAAGCTTTGCCGAAAGTATAACTTGGTCCTACTCCGCTTAACGCTCACTGCGAAATTAACGTTGCGATATATATTGATTTTAGAAGGGGTTTTGAACAGGGCAGTTTTCCCTAAAACTTCAATTGCAACAAAAACTGCCGGACAAGTTGTGCAAAAATGCTTCGTGTATCAGCGTCTTAGCTGTACATTAAAGTATGACTGCGCTTGTTACTTAGAGCCCGCTGTTACAAAATTAGCGGGTTCAGTTAGTCGAAGAGAGAATTCTGACAAAGATCGGTTAATGTTACGTTTATAACAGGGAACATTTTTATTTTAAAGAGAAAAACGTGATGGGCGTTGAGAAAAGCTAGCCGAGCTCTTGTTTCTTGTTATCAGCTATCTATAGATCTGTTATGAAGCTTATGCCGATAATAATGATGCGTTAAGCCTTAAAATATTAAGACCTAAAAGTGGATTCTCCATAACTTTTGCCATAAATTCCTTGAAATGCTTGCTGTGAGAATTAGTGTTACATCCAGGCAATTTCCTTAGTTGATGACTTTCTTTATTCTTATTACCTTTCTGCTTGATAATGTATGGAAATTGTAAGGAGAAATATGATGTTGATAACTCTTGGGAAGTATACTGGCGATCGGCTGCTGGAAAGGTTTTTATGAGAGTATTTCTTGGCATCCCAGTCCTGAAGAATCTTTCTTACATTTTATGAACCTTGAGATGTGTTCTTCCATGTACTTCAGAGGAAGTTCCCCTTGGCGCAAGATTTGATAATGAAACTCTTTCATGGAAAACTTTGGTCCCAGTTCTTTTTCGGCCAGTTGCCTCAATTTGATGAAAGTCTCTTGGCCAATCATATAGCTTGTAACAGTGGCTGGTGAGCTTTGGTACCGCGTGATGTCCTTGGTGGCCAGGTCACTTTTGTCCCATGCGTACTGCTCATAAAGGTTTTCAGCTTGTTTACGTGTCATCGCGAAATAATTTACACCAGTGTCGAGAACAGACCGTAAGGCAGCGAGAATCTGGATAAAAATTGACAGACATTTAAACTTCTCATCCTTGTCTCTAAGCGCGTTTTCTTATTTTAATGACCGCGCAAAGCCTGGGACAGGAGGGAGAGAGATTGATGCCATTACTCACGATGGAGTCCAGACTCCCAAGAACGCGTAGCGACTGGGCTGTAAACTATTGTAAGCCTTACCGGAAAAAGGTCTATTGACCAAATATCGACCATTTCAAGCAAACAAAATTTATTTTGAAACAGTGACGACTATGAGCAAAGAAACTAAAATCTTCCACATACAACATGAAGAGCATTTCACCGTGTTGAGGTCCAAAATGTATTGGGTGGTTGATCATTTACAGTCTTAAGTCTTACTTTTGCTTCTTTACTTTCTAGTAGGATTTGTCTTGACTGAGGTCCCGTTTACACGGACGCGGTTTCATTTGTAACCGCATCTTTTTCGATGCGGTTACGCCTTCCATTTACACTGCGCAGATGACCTGCACCTCTTTAAAACTTCTATTTTGATTCGTTCTTGTTAAGATATTATTAGATAAGTAATCGTAATTAGGTGTCCATCATTATTATACATTGTATGCTAGCGACTTGGACACGTTAAGAAAGCTCTTATCTGCACCTCTTTTGTTTTTAGGGTTGTCGAAAGTGGAGCGTTTTCAGAACGATACGGTTTCGTGCCGTGTAAACGGACTAAACGATTGTAGCCGTGTCTTTTAAAACAACGGCTTCCGTTTGGCGTGAAAACATCTCATTGTATTTTGGTGTACGGACTCCCAATCAACATTTTCTGCATTTTTAGCGACTTTGTATTCGTTCGTTATTCTCAAAAGTAGCTCTACCTCGTCGTCAGTCCAAACGAAGCTACTGACATCTTTGCGCTTCGCCATGTTCAAAACAAATGGCGACGCTTCAAGGGTATAATCGTTCCCAGATCTCTGGTAACAAAACATGTCGCAGCCATGACGTAACAGCCGAGAAAACGGATAAATCGTTTTTGTGTAAACGCTTCGTAACCGTATACTTTTTGACACGGTTTCGAAAGGACGAAACCGTGTTGATTTGAAACCGCGTCTGTGTAAACTCAGCCTGGAGCATAATGTCGCTCGTGAAGAAGGCGAAATAATTTTAGACATTGTATTCAGAAATGCAAGTAGCTCTTTGGCTTACCTGATATTTTAACATGCCATATTTCTGAAGCAAAATTTGCTTGTCCGCAGTGTTGACATACGCGTCGGTATCCCTGGCCATCAGCGGGTACTCAACATAGGTGGCCCAGCCCTCAGTATACGACGGAAGGTAGTTCCCGGATGAGATCCAAGATATAGCATCATTACAGGAATCTTCAAAGTTCTCGGTGAAACCTTGGACCTGTAATTGGGTCAATTGAAATTTTAACCTTACAATACTGTGTAAAAAAAATAACGCCTGTAGATTTGTGGCTTGTGAGTATCCTTACTCTTAGCGTGCTGGCTTTCTTTTCTAGTTGTGGACTTTGCGAAGGGGGAGGGAGTGGGGTTAACGTGCCCATTCCCTTATTTCCAAAAGAATTCTTCCTTATGGTGATGAAAGTTGATAGTTAAGGAAACCAACGATGCTTGAGCCCATCTTAGAGGTTGTAGTAGGTCACTGAATTATGACGTCAGATCACATAAATGATGTCAGCAGTTGCCTAATGTTCTGATAGGACGTTGACTGGTAGGGGCAATATAACTAGGATACTCTCTCTAAGTGAGAAAATGGGTCTATTAGAGGGGAAATTGATATTTTGATCTATTACTAAACGGACGTAAGGTAACGTGAAATCTATTTGTTGAATGGAGGACGACAGGATCACTAGTGTATTTCCAAGTTTAACGAATGTTCACATGGAGAATTTGGGAAGCAAACGGGAAAGAAACATAAGGGTAACACAGTGTATGTAGAGATTTTACTGATTTCTTGGCCATGTGCTTTTGTCGCGCTTTGTTACTTCACATCACCCTTAACTTGTTATCGCTAACTTACCTCCAGATGGTGGCCTGGTAACTGCTCGTGGGATGTCGTGGTATATTCCGTGTATTTTGGTCCAAAGTCATCCATGAAGAACGGTAATGTTTGATATGCCAATACCTTGCAGTCGAATAAGCTGAGCTCGTAACCATGGAAACATATTTCAGGGTTGTACTCCCCCTTTACAGAAATACCGCAAGATGGCGTCGTTTTCTTGGGAGGAGAGAAGTAGAAAAGTGGTTCGAGTTTGGGTCGTAGCAGCTTGGCAACCTGTGTCAAGAAAATCAAACAAATCATTACCAAGCCTTTTCGCAGTATTTTAAGAAAATTATGTTTATTTTCGTTAATTATGATCACTAAGCCTCTAAAGTTTGTACAGCGTAACTATTTTCATCGTGGAAGAGAGTGGTAAATTCATTTATTTATGTCAATTTGGAATTATTGACATAAATTTTACTGTATGCAAGCAATGAAAACGATATTGATAAGCTGTTCCATAGTTAACGAAGGGGAATGGTTATGAAGCCTGGCAAACATTAAAAGAACAAACAAAGATGCCAAGATTTATGTTGGAAGGTCCAAGACCGTGCGCAATCCTTTGTTTTGCGTTTATACATTATGCATGAATTACGTAATCAAAACATTTCTATTTGTTAGTTACTCGGTCAGTAGTAAACAACTATTGTGTTTTGTGCACGGTCAAGGCCAAAAAAGAGAGCAAAAACAAAGAACAAAGAACTTTGTCGAGTTTCATAACCATTCCCCTCTATTAACTATTATGACTGTTCCAGGCACTTGGCTGGCGAAAACTTAGTCATCAAATGCTGGTAGCCACCTCCGTTATGATGTTAAAAACTTTACATGGATTGACCACTGAATATCTACAATCTCGATTCGTATCTCAAAATGATATTACTTCTTATCGACTGAGGAGTTCTGAGAATAAATTGGCTTGGCACCAATTATTTAAAGATAAGTGTTTTCTACAGGGGTACTATGTTATGGAACAGCCTTTCTCATGAACTCTCATCTACAGTTTCTTTAAGTGAATTTAAACGTAAACTGCGTCATTACAGCTTTGAATGAGACACGGCATCCTTGAAAAGCAGCTTTAGTAATATGATAGGTTTCTATTCTTATAATACTGTATTAATTATTAGTTAGTTTATGTAGGCAGACTTAGATATTATACTATTAAATTATGCTGAAGGAATTTTTCCGTGTATAACTAAAGTTATCAACTCATTACCAGAAAAGTAGAGAATCTTGGATGCGATAACGTACCTCGAGACCGCTTGTTGTACTTTTCATAAGTCGTAAGGTAAAAAGTCTCCGTTTAAGATAAGTGGCCAATCAGGCCGGCGTTTATTGTCGTTCCGTGGCATGAAGCGGCTAATTGAGAGTATTTCACTCCCTTCTCCNAACCCGCCCCGCCCCTGTTCCGGAATGGGATGGTAGTCAGTCCAAAGGCTACCCTTAGTTTAATTCGCTGCAACCCATTTATGTGATTTGTACGCTGTAAACTATGTTTTATTACCCCCACCCCTTCCTCGTCACGTCCCATCGCTCGGGGGAAGTAACTAGCACAAATCTACACTAACGTGCTTTGTAGAGTTGATCCATTTCTTTAAGGCTTTCGATCGCACGGGACAAAACGCCTGCGCTCCTTGTGTGTCAGCACACTTCATGAACGCTTCCTCCCCAGACTCATTGGCAGGAAATTTATCATCGTTGAAGAAACTATCACGTGACTTGAGAACTTCTTTGAACTTAAGAACAGCGCTATCTTCGTTCTGGATTCCAGTGTACTGTTTAGCAAGTTCCTTTGCCTACGAGGAAAGAGAGATGTAGCGTTATGTGATTTTACTTGTTTGCAGCACTGCATTATGTCGTTTTGCAGCCTACGGACATTACCATTTATGTCTAAGAACCTCACTATCACTGCTTTCACCTGTCTACGTGGTTTTTATTTTTCTTCATAAGTGCGAGATCTTCCAAAACTGGACAAAAAAGTTTTAAAATGAAAAATAAATAAATATATAAAATAAAAATAAAAATAAAATAAAATAAAATAAAATAATAATAATAATAATAATAATAATAATAATAATAATAAAAAAATCGGTTCACTCTTTATCAAAACACTTGCCACCCTCTCTATCATCCTCATTCTCTCCTCTATTCCCCCAGAAGCAACTTCCCTGGTGGCTCTCCCTGCCCCAGGGAGGTATTGTGAAAGGCATTACCTCATTATTCCCGTGACTGAGTCTCATTCACTTTCATTCTCTCACTCGCCTTCCCCCATCCCCCTTTTCTTCTTATCTCGCTTCCCCACGGCTACTCCCCCTGGAAATCCACTGACCCCGGATTCATACTTTACTTCAATTCCTAACCCTCATCTTTCTATGATTCCGCTATGTGACCCAATCGGCGCGAATTCCTACCTTACTTCAATTCCTAGTCCGCTCGCATTATGATTCCCCTTTGGAAATTTCTCATCCCGAATTCCTACGTTACTTTAATTCCTAGTACGCGTCCCCCTATGATACCCCTGTGGGAACCCCTCAACCCGAATTCCCAGGGTTTCACTTGATACCGTTCTGTTTATAATCCCCACCCTTGCCTTACCCATTCCCACAAGCTATGTTTGGAAGCAAGGAAACACAATTTTACTTCATATTATAGGAATTTGTTTATTTTTATTTTCTCTCCCGTAACTTGAACCTGAGACCTCCCGCTCTAAAGCGCATCCCCTTATCCACTACACCGCGCTACACGCTGTTGAAAACAATCAACAATTTTCATGGTATCATGACTTACAGGTTCCAGGCTTATCTCGTTTAAATATCAAAATAGCCATTTAAAACATGAGCATGCTAAACAAGCTATATTTAACGTGCGTGATTTAAAAGGAAATTCAGTAGATACGAAATAAACAAAAGCCTTGTTACGAAAGCGTAAAGTTACTGAAGAACTGGAATGAAAGAGATGCGTTTGCTGAAAAATGAACTAGTCGACAAACGAATATTACCCAAAACGCCACCGTTGTAACAAGAACAATTTCAAACAGGCCGTTTTAAATAAGAGAGAGTCAGGGACAAAATATTAACAAGATATTTCTCTAATTCAATCATTGTAACAACGCGCAGTTAAAAAGCTGAGGAGGCGCGAGAATAGACATTATCAGTTTGTCGATGCTTGTTATGCCAGCGAAAACACTCCTCGACTTTCGGGAAGCTTTAGGCATGCTTAAAGTTCTGAGAGAGCGCACGAGGGTCAGAGAAAACGCCTCAAGGCTAGTGGAGAGTCAAAAAGAGCGATTCAACACTCACAGCTGTTGTTACTGTTTGCCTCGACTATAAGTACATCTCAACTGCAAAATTCGTCTCTTGAAGGATTCTAATTAATAATTAGATTACAAGCTCGAGTTTTTTTATGAAGTCATAGGAATTGAGAGCGAATAATCTAACTGCTTTAATAGAATTCTTTCTTAAATTTTCTTCAGCTAATCATTTCCAATCAGTTTTGGTGCATTGTATTTAACTTTAGAAAAATCGCGCGGACTGAATTATCGTTTGGAATTTCCTGTTGTGTACGCGCGCTCGTCAATTTTTTCAACACTTCTCTTTTCTAGTTTTTTAAAGTCGTGAAACCGTAAATGTCCTTCTTTTAGTCTTCTAGGAATTTAATTATCCATTTGTATCTATTTCTGATAGTATACGAGTAGCTCAGCCAATCAGTTTGCAGCATTTGCATTAGTATTCTATTCTACTTATTCTACTAATTGTAACTTGTAACTTGTAAATTGTAAATTCTTTACAATTCTACTAATTGTAAAGAAAGATGTTCCTACCTGACTAAGTAAAGCATCCAGTTTTTGGTAACCCTTATCTCTCAGCTCTTCCGGCGTAATAGAAGTACTTGTGAAGAAAGACAAGATCATCTTGTACGAGTTGGTAGCATTAATGACGTCACCGTTCGGAAGGGTTCCAGTTGTTGGCCGGGACGGATCGCGAACGCCCTCCACGTATACGGAATTTAAAGGCAACTTCGCCATCCCGGTAACTCCGCTGTAACAATATTGGAGATGCTCCTTTTCAAGATACCTGTAACAACATAACAGTGGTACACACAATAAATTGCCAGCAAATAGCCCCGCCCAGTACCTAAAAAAATCATTCTTTTGGTTGTAAGCCCTTTTCCTTCGGATAAAAGTCATCCTTTCCCATTGTTCCTTACTTCTTTAGTTGCTACAAGCCCATTACACTTATATGAAGTTTCTATTTCTAAGAACTGATCAACTACAAACGCATTAAGTTACAAATTTTATAACATTTTGCTTCATGGGCTGGCTGACTGACTGACTGAGTGACTGAGCGGCAGTGACTGAGCGACTGAGCGGCAGTGACTGAGCGACTGACTGACTGACTGACTGTATTTAACTGACTGATTGAATGATTGAATGATTGACTGTTTGCCTGATTGACTGATTGACTAATTGACTGATTGACTGATTGACTGATTGACTGATTGACTGATTAGCTGACTGACTGATTGACTGATTGACTGAATGGCTAGTTGACTGGTTGACTGATTGACTGCTTGGCTGACTGACTGAGCGACTGACTGCGGAGGTAAGGACTGATTGACTGATTGACTGACTGACTGTCTGACTGATTGTCTAATTAATTGACTGATTTGCTGATTGAATGAATGACTGACTGACTAACTGACTAACTGACTGACTGATTGACTGACTGACTGACTGACTGTCTGACTGATTGACTAATTAATTGACTGATTTGCTGATTGAATGAATGACTGACTGACTAACTGACTGACTGATTGACTGATTGACTGATTGACTGATTGCCTGATTGCCTGATTGCCTGATTAAATTGACTGACTGACTGACTGACAGTGTGACGGACTGCATGACTGACTGACTGACGGACTGACTGACTGACGGACTGACTGACTTATGGACTGATTGACTGGTTCACTGACAGACTGACTGACTAATTGCCTGGTTCACTGACAGATTGACCGGACTGACTGACTGATTACGGATGATGGATGAGTTATTCCCGCTTTATTCTATTATAGAAATTGAGCTTTTACGTCTACATACCTTATAAGTCTGGTCAGCGGTTCACCTAGGTAAACCAGCAAAAATCGTCTGAGTGACGCCTCCACGCTCTCTCCTCGTTTCTTGTACCACGTGGTGTTCATTTCAGATGTAATTTTCGACGTAAAACGTTTTGCTAGAATAGTTTTTGCCACACCCTCGTTAAAAATACCTGTAAGGACAAAACAGAAAACGTCATTAGTCAAGCAATCTACCCTGCATTTCTCAGCTTTCTTTCTTAATGGAGCGAACTCAAGATATACAGAAATGACACCAACACATGAATAAGGTGATATCAAGTGTATTCATACGAACCTTTGTCAAGAAGTTCTCACTGATGAAAGAAAGAGACTTTTTGATTGTTTTTATTTACTGGATTTAAATAAATCATTTAGTCCCCCTCGGTAATGGGCGATATGAAATTGTTCTATTTTCGCACATGCAATGTGTGGAAAGTTTACCAGCAAGTGAGCAAGCGCGCGAGCGAGGAAGCGCGCGAGC